ATTTTTTTGGAAGAATTATATAGTCTCGGGTTTATTTAGATTAAATGCATTATAATTAATTGTACAAGTGTTTATAATGCCAAATAACGGTAATTATAATTTTATACTTCAGACTTCTTTATAATTTTATAAGTCAGATGAATCTTGTTTCACGAGGGTGACCAAACGTTCTTCGTAACTCCACGCGTTGAGCAAGTGTAACGTTTGCACGATGATTCGCGAATGAAGCGTGACGACGCTGTTCTACAATGATTATACACATAAAATGACTCAGCTCGAGAGGTGAAACTAAATCATTCCCTTGCAACTCACTTAATCTAATAATTGAAAATTATCATTATTTATAACTTTATCCACCGGCATTACTTATAGAAGCGAAGGAAATCATCATCGCGAACGCGCGCGCCAGACTGAAGTCTATCATCTCTTACGAGTTGATCCATTGAAATATGCATATGACACTAATACTGACATTAGAAGACTTTTATTCGATTGTGAAGCTACTGCTGTAGCTGCTTCTGCACTACTACCATTCTTTATGCACGAAAGTTCTCTTTCTCTCCCCTTCCCTCGCTCGCTCTCTCTCATTCTCTTTCTCTCACTTACTCTGTCTCGTGCGGCCTGGTGGTTTTTCAAGCGAATCTAGGCGCGCAGTAGATTTCACGAGAGGCAGAGTTAGTCTGCAGCGCGGCGCACGGTGTACGCCTTATATGTATGAGCTTGCAGTAAGTGATTTAAGCGGACGATGGGCCCTGCATATATGGCCACGTACGACCGCACGCGACCTTCTCTTTTTATAATACAAAAATATACCGCCGAATTACGTACAGATGCAACAGAACGTGTACGGCACTGGCCAGAGGCCAAGTCGTTCCTTTTTTTTCTTTTCGCCTTAGTCTGGCTTCGCTTTAAATTCTATTTGACCTGTATCTACTTGCACGTACATTTTATCACAGTGGGTATCCTTCATACAGTGAAGCTTTGAACCCAATGGTGCATAATGAAGTACAGTCGCGTAAAAAACTATTGATTTGCTCATTGATTTTGTGGATGCGGTTATATTGATGCAAGTACCTAATACTCGACTATGCTGGAATGGTTTTTGCAGCGTGGTAAACAAGTTTTCTCTATGGGTGCGTTAAGGTGCGTCGTAAAAAGTATATGTTTATTGTTTATGCGAAAATAAGCTCCTTTGGAAAAGCTTGTGTCTTTTATGAAATCAGGTGAAATATTAATTTACTTATGTACGTAGAAATTATGGCTGCAAAAAAAGGATCAACTCTTCTCTACGAATATTGGTGTTTTTGTAAAGAGAATAATTTACAATTCGTATGAATAAAACATAACCAAAAGTTTTAACAAGAATCTAAATTTTTTATGAATTACTCTAAAAAAACAAATGTAACAATATTAATTTGATAGTATGAAATAAGTTAGTTTTGAAAAACCATCATCGATCGCATGTAAAATTTCATAATTTGCAAGGTTAGACACAATTCACAATTATTAACGAGCTCAAGTAAGCCTTAGAAATTAGAAATTAAAAATTTACATAGAGACGTTGCTTAGATTGCTTGAATAAGTAAACTTAGCCAAAAAATAGGTAAAAATGTGTAATCTCATAAAGTTCTTTTCATTAAATTTTCAAACGTACTGCAAGTCGTGTGTAGGTTGCGATACGTACACGAGGGATAAACAGCTTCAATTAATCTTTTGATAAATCTATGAAAAAGACATAAGGTGTGCATCGATTTCCAACCAATCACGTGCATGGATTTGCATGTTGAATAAATTTTTTTTAATTTCGAGCGCAAGTCGCTGCAAAGAAAGCTATCGCATTAGCGAGCGCGGGTGAAAAAAAAATGTTGAGCTCGCTGCGACAGTGCAACGGAGCGCGGGCAGATATGGAGGTGTGTATAGCTAAGGACTCGTGCGCACGCGAATTGAAAATACTAGCCTGGCTCTGCAATGGCAAGCCCTACTAGTCAGGGGCTGAAAGAGGACATCAATCACGCTACATCGACAATGACCCCATTCGAGATCAGGAAAAGAGATCGAGGCAGCATAGAGTAGACAAGAAGAGCTATAGCTCAGAAAGCTTCGAAAGAGACGAATGCCGAGAGAGATAGCTGCTTTTGCTCCGTTACTACTATTGCTGCTCTAGAGAAAGAGCAAAACCTATCTAAATTTCTCTCTTGCTGCTGCTGCTGCAGCTTGCACTGCGCGAAAGAAGATACGATAGAGCGAGAAAGGAGAGAAGCTGCAAGAGCGGGTGGGGTATAGAGCCAGCTTTTCTCTACACCACGTGCGGCCAAATCGATATTTATATCTTGATTTCTGATCGTGACCGAGAGCCCAAAAGACGTTATATCGCCGAAAAGGCAAGGGTGCGAGTGAAGAAATAACGAAGATCTCTACGCGAGCGAGAGCGCAGTATAATATCCAACTGCATGAACGGCAGGCATGCAAGCAGCCGACGCCGTAGACTCGGGACTCAAGTTAAATGGGGCCGATCGTCCTTATTTTTTCTTCTGCATTAAAGTAAGACTTTTATCGCTGCAGTATAAGCCCGCTGAAAACTACCAATGGCAAGAAGAGGCAATTTTGAATGCTAAGAATCGAAAGAGAAAGTCACAGCTCAAGTTTCAGACTAAGAATTATTTTGCGTCATAATGGTGGTGCAGCAATGTATTTGAAGCGCCTGATGGATAGCAGTGTGATGTTTAAAATGAAACGCTTTGAACATTTATTTTAAATAACTTTAATATATCGAGTCTCTATTCTATGAGTATCAATTTTTCAACAAAATAAAACTATTCACGAGTTTTTAAGGTAATCACGATCAAGCAGAATCTATTGTCTCGTCTTAATTAAAATTGAATGACATTCATTAAAACAAAATAACGAACAGTTCTCCTCGTAACAGAAGGATTGTCAGCACGAGAGATTATTTTTCGCCAAACTTCACTTTCAATGCATCCAGCAATTATACAAATTATATAAACTTTTCACAATTACACGAACGCACACGAGTATCCATGTATAGTTAAAATTTAAATACCGTACACAAGAATTTCACCCAAAAAGTCAAACGAATGAACACAGCTGACAGAGCAATAATTGATTTATGCCTAGTAATGGAAATGTTTGCCCATATACCCACAAGTATGAAGTATGTAAAACAGAACAGGATGCAACAAAGATATTCAACTTTTAATTATTTCTTTTAATTATTCTCGACCCTTTCAATCAACTATTTTGCCACAAAATTAGAGAGCGGTTTCTCTTGCGCTAAATATCTCGCATTCATACTAGAACAAAAGTATAAAAACATACTAGTAAAAACTTACTAAAACTTACTAAAACTAATTGACACTTTGAGCATTGCGTGTTTAATATTCTTTTCCAGCGCAAAGATGAGAGAACGCGTGTAACTGCCAGCTATTGTTGGTTCTCCTGGGTATATCGATTTTTGCGCCCAGTCACGCAAAAAATCGAACATGAAAATTTTTCAATAATCCCGGAATCCATGATTATTTTTCCCCCTTAGCTTTTTTTCTGCATTAGCTTTGGTTTGACCAAGTATGCGTTGAATACTAATCGAGATGAGCGCGTGTACTGGTTTGAACTATACAGCTGAACAGGATCGGATACGAAGCCGAGAAAGAATAAGGCAGGTTTCCAGAGCAGTGCAGTCAGCTGCGAAATTCCACGTAATGAAATTGCTTTCAATTAAAAGTCAGCTTCTTTGGCTGCTTTTACATTAAGTGTATGTATAGATATAACATTGGAAAAAATTGGATAAGAGAAACAGAAAGCCGGGGAAAAAGTCTCATTGTCCAGTGATATTTCTTGAAGTATAAGCTATGCAGCGGCACTCCAGAATTTTTTTTATTTTTTTATAATCTCAATTTATATTCAAAATGCGTTTTTTTAAATGTGACCGAAAGAGAGTTAGAGAGCGGCAAAAGTCTTTGTTATTGAGATTTCTAGAAAATAAAGAAATTTCCCCCTTCTTTAGTACACCCCTTTTTACTCAAGATTTTTCGGAACTTCTGCAGTTTACAATTCCTCGATATGTGACATACTCTATGTGTACGTAGTGAAGTTTGTACGCGTGCCAAAAGCATAAGGCACAAAAGAAACAAGCTCGAACGGGAAAAACAAGTGCATTCGAAATAAGGGGCATAAAACACGTCGAGTAAAATCAAATAAGAGTAGAAACAGTGAAAGAGTGAGAGAGAGTCAGAGAAAGAGAGAAAAGAGTCAGAGAGAAAACAGGTAAAACAAAGCAACCAGCCCACTGGAAGCAAGTAGACCAAAGAACGCGTATACCCTCCCGAGTGGGCATATAAATTTAAGGTAAGTAGAGTGAGGGCTTTACCGCGATGCCAGCCAGTGCATATATTTATATACACTTTGCAGCGCAGCCCGCCTGGCCCGCGAGGAAATGCATGTGCTTATGCGAGTGTGCATGTGTATAAGTGCGAAGGAAAGAAAAAAAGGAAATATGGTGCGTGGAACTTAGATAGTTTGTAACGTCATTCGTTACGCTCCTATAGAAACCTCTGGCAGCTTACGAATACTAGGCTATTTATTTATTGGCCTCGAATCCAAGTTTTTTTCCATCAAGTATGTTTAGTTTTTCGGACAGTTGTATGTGCTGAAGCAGATACGATACATGCGTGGGTTAAGATGTTTGATTTAGATTAGGTATTTAATAACCAGCATATCATGAAAATTTAAGATTTAATTAAAATAATTCATCATTTGATAATCGTCGCGTGCCTTGACTTTGTATGTTTCAATTTGTTTTTTATAAATAATTATTATCATAGAGATCAACTGGATTATAAATATTCAATACAATAAGGAAGCGATAAAAATACTGTTTCGCTTGTAGTAGTACGTTAAAAGAAAATTTAGTAGCGGTAGGAGTCACTGACCAATAATCTATCGCTTCTCAACTCTATTGATATAATTAATCGAGTACCACGTATTTGACAGTTGACTTCTGAGCTCAGTTGAATGTAAACACGGCATCTATAGTCATATTGGATTTTCATTCTTCCATAGTTTTCATCATGTCACCAAAAAATATTTTGATAACTTTCATCATATTCTTGTTAGTATATAGTGAATTATTATACTAAATAACAAAGTGAAAAATATGATGTTTTTTTTTATTCAGATGTTGCTTAAGGCTTGTAAGATCACATTCGTATTATTATTCAAACGGCCAATTATATCAAGATTTGGGATCAGGACAGTGGTATCAGTTATATGACGTGTATGAAGCACCTCATCATAAGAAGAATAAAAATGTCGTTATTAGTGGGTGCTCACACTGTGATTTTGATTCCGATGAGTCCAAAGAGTCGTCAGAAGAAACTAAAACCATTACTAAGAGCCAATGGAAAGTAATTCAAGAAGCCCTTGATAAAGGTACTTGATTTTTTCTTCAATCAACTACATTTTTATTTTCAATCTAAATAAAAATGTAATGAAAAATTAAAAATTTTTTCAGGCTGTGACTTTGATATCGATTACGGCAAAATAAAAATTGACTGCCACAAAAGCAAAAAGAAGAGCAAAAAGAACAAGAAGTTTTATTTTGAAATTGAATAATTTTTTACGCATCGATAATACATAAAGATTAATTTTTATTCCAAATGATTAATAGTTGACAAATAAATACATATTTTTTTAAATTATTGTAAACGAAAATTTCATCGAAGTTACTTGTGTTTTAAATACTAACTATTAAAAAAATTCAATGCAAAATCATTTTTTCTATTTTACCGCTGCCTAATTTAAATGAAGCACGTATAAATAAAAACTAAATTTTGGCAGTTTAAACAAATGAGTAAAAATACTTAATTGTGATTTTATGCATAATTTATTGGAAATAAATTTCATTAACGTTGACTGTATTACAGAATATTTAATGACAATTTCTGTTAAATAATTTTAAAATATAAATCAAATTTAAACTACTTTAGAACATTTAAAATTTCATTGAAAGAATAATTAATGAAATGTAAATGCAAAGAAATATTAATACTTCAAGTTATATTTACACTTGTGACACAACAAGAACATAGAATCATTGATTATAGTAGCTCTTTACTAACAAACATTTCAAATTCGGACTTGAAAGTGTTCGTTGAGTAACGAAAATATACGAACCAATAGAAATTATTTGATTGAACAACTAACAACAATTAAAAATGGAAACATCAGCGGATACTTATTTTGAACGAAAATACTTATGGTTTTTAAGATGGGTTGAGCGATTTGCTTTTGTCTGGCCTTATGACAAAGAGTGGAGGAAGATTTCAGGAAGATTATTTTATTTCTCATTAATACTACTTACTCTTACATCATCGGTAATTGTTTCAAATAAATTTTTTTAATGTTTAAAATGAAAATATTTGAAAAATTTATGAGAGGTATTTTTAATTTTAACAATAAATTTAGTGATTTTATTTGAAATTTTTCATGAAAGTTATTCACGATACAAGGGCCATGATAGCGTAGCTCAGTACATTAAAATTAAATACTACTAACATCGTGAAGCTTTTTTGTCAAATATTGTAATTTGATACTGTAGTATACTCTTGGAAAAAAATATTGATTAAAGAATTTGTTTAGGCTATAAGGATATATAAAGAGCTAAGCCAACCTCATCCATCCTTTCTTGTCATTGGACTCAATGCATTTATACAATTATTTACTGGTATAACAGTTGCTATCTATATAATATTTATAGCAAGTGACTCTCAGGTATTTTCAAGTTTGTTCATAATTCAATGATCAAATTTATTCAATTACACAATTTTAGTGCAAAATATTCTATGATCAATTAAAAGCAGTTCATGAGACTATTTCTGACGAAAATGAAAAAGAAATAATAGATCGGTATTCAAAAATTACTTTTATCATAAGTTTTATAGGCATTAGTAAGTGTGGCATTCCCCTATAGCTTTTCTTACTAATCATTTTTAACACTCATTTTTTTGACAGGTGGTAATTTCATGTGTGTGTTTTCCTGCCACCTTATGTCAACTGCTGCTCCACAAATTCTCAATACTTTTTATTTTAAAAACGATACACTTCCAGTAGCTTTATTTTTCGACGTTGAATATTTTATAGATAGAGAAAAATATTTATATATTTTAACGGTGATAGCAATGACTTTAGATTGTACTTTGAAACATGCATACGCCTCGTGTGATATAACATACTTATACGGCATAAGTTTATTAATGGGATTCTTCAAAATTGTAAGGTAATCTGAATAGCATTGTAAATACTGCATGGAGTAGATTAAAGCTGGAGGCAAACTTTTTGGTGAAAAATTCAATATTACTGCACCCCAGCATAACTATCAAACAAATCTGATACAGATTGATTTGGATTGATTGATCATGATTGATTTTTCACCAAGATTGAGAGCATGTCAAAAAATTCTGTAAATGAATCTTAAAAGTTTCATATCCTTCCTTAAAAAAATGATGTGAAGTCGTTTTATTCGTCACCTCATTGGTCGAGGAGTAACTGCGCCTCGCTTCATGATTGGTCGGAATCTCGCGCCGGTCGTTCATATAATTATTTTAGTGGGAAAACTTAAAAGTGGCGTTTGCTTAAATGTTTATATTTGTAAGTCATTGGTAATTTTAATTACAACTTGATTAGTTGGCGCGCGTGAGCGCGCTTCATATCACTAGTCATGTAACGCGTTCATATCGCTGTCAAGAACAACTTACAGATCAAGTCTTAAACTACTCAATGTGCTATCAAGTGCTACTTGTGGTTTTTTTTTATAATGAATCACTTGAATGATTTTATATACACATAATATCTCTTTATTTAGTTACCGTTACGACCAGTTACACGAATATACGCAAACCTCAGATATATATATTACTTCAAATGTAGAGAATAGATATGTTCGCGTAAAGCTAGCCAAGATAGTTTATTTTCATGGTAAACTATTAGAGTTACGTATATTGGTTTATACAAATAATTTATTGATATTGAATTGATTTATAATTTTTTCTCAACAGAATAGCTACCCAACTGAACCGTATTGTGAAACCGATGTACTGCATCAAAATATATTTGTTGACTATAACATTACCTTTTCTTGGATACGCAGTTCGTATATACTAATTAATGATAATAAAATAATCGGAACGGCAATATTTTTTTCAATTCATCTTTTTTTAGTGTACATGCTTGAAAAAAGAGGCTTAAGGCATACTTAAGGCATACTTAAGGCATACTTACTTCACATTTTAATGAATACTTTCGATTTCATGAACATAAATTAATTAATAACTTTTTCAAATAATTAGTTGAATATTTACTTAAAAAAAAAAATTAATGCACAAAAATTGTCCGTTGTTCTTAAAAGCTTTTCAAGAATTTTGTCATACTTTTTTGATACGAATATATTTTTTAATGTATAGTAAAGTTTTTGAAAAAAATTCGAAAAATATTGCCAAGCCAAATAACACATGATTTTTTGTAAGTTTATTTTTTAATAATCAAATTGGGATACATTAATTAAAATATTTTCAATCAAGTCATTTTATAATGTTATTATTACTTCAAAAACTATTATATAAATGAACACAAATTTTAGACTGCACCACAAGTTAATTTGTGATTAAATAATCATTCATAAACTTATTTCGAACTTTTTTTGCAGGCTCTTCGAGCTACAGATTCCTTTGAAAAAATATCAATGGTGTTGTCATTTGCAGCCTGGATGTCTTACATATCTTTAATATGTTTATCGGGTCAATTTTATATCAATCACTCAATGGCAATTTTTGATAAAAAGTATGCATCAATTTCTTCAATTATGTATGGGTCAGATTCAGAATTTTTCAAATAAACCTGCGGGCGAGGTTCACGGATTTTCCTGAAATTTTGGTATGTGTACATGATAAAAAAGTGCTAAAACCAAAATTTTGGACCCCCTCCCCCCTCCTACCCCCCCTCCTCCCCTATGGACGTCCATTTTCTGTCTATATTTTTTCTGAAGGCCTGAAGCTATTAAAAAATCTGAAAAAATTCATGAAGGTACTTTTCAACAATCTAAACAATCTTGAATTTTTTCAGATTTTTCGAGTGCTTCAGGCCTTCAGAAAAAAACATTGAAAATTTAAATTATTTTATTTTCGGTGAAATGGTTCGATATACCAGACCGGAGTATTTTTTTCTGAATTCTGACGTCAAAAAACGATTTCTTGAATTTTTTCAGAATCTTTCATTCATGTTCATTCAGTCTAGAGCTGAAAAACCGCTTTTTTCACGAAAATAACTTTTTTAAGGCGCTACGGAGCCTCAAAAAATCTGGAAAAA